AATGGAGTAACAGTAATTAATACTCAAGGTGTGGTACTCTGTTCTAAGCCCTTAAACGCCATATATTAACTCATGAACCCTCTCAGAGGCCAGCAGGCATCATTCCAATTTTACAGATGACAGGTTAGGTATCTTGCCCATGGTCACACAGCCACCTATGATCTTCTACAGTGCCTTTTTCTTCTTCCAGATATTAGTCCACTGACCATGTGCTGGTTCCAAAAACTATGTATATGCATATATTTTCAGTATTATGAAGAATGCATTATAGGAAAGCACTGACATACTTTGTATGCTTTGAAATGACAAATGTCAAATAGCTTATTAAAAACTGACAATCTGTAAAGAAACAAAATGACAAATAAAATGTAATCCTCATCTCTTCTAATTGCAATCATTTAAGAAAGCAAATTTCTCTAAAACACTTCATTCCACAACTATGAAGGAAGGTTTCCTACTGTGAGATGGAATGAAATTAAAAGCTACACCCTTTCCCTGAAGATATTTAATCTTATCTCTCTTTTCTTTTTTTTCTTTCCTTTTTCTCTTTCTCTTTTTTTAAACTTCCCTCAGAGATGGCCAATCTAAATTGCCAACTGCCCAAACAGTTAAAAAAAAAAAAAAAAAAGCCACATTTAAGGTTTTAGGGTATTGTCCTTCAGTTGTCTGCAGCTACAGAGAATTAATCCTAAAGCACAACCTTTGCTGAGCTCTTCTAAGAGTTTACAGCCTGTGCTGAGCTCTTCTAAGACTTTCAGTATCAAAAAATGCAAAATTATCACTCACATATTTCAATTTAGAAATTGAAATTCAGAGAAAGTTATAAAAATTCAACTTAATAAAATTTATTGAGTGCCTATAATGTGCAATGGATTTTTACTACACACTGAAATTCAGGCACAAAACAGACACAGATCCCTGGCCTGAGGTACCTATAATCTAGTTAGTATAATACAAATTAAAAACAGTAGACAGACAAGTTCCATGTTAATGCTCAGTTACCAGAGTCAACATTAAAGAGCTGTGATTTAGGTAATCCAAAAATCACCTAATCCTAAAATCATTTATAAAATGTATTTGGCCTTAGAATCCACAGCACTTCAAAGAAAGCAAGTTCCACTGCAGATACAGTCACAAACATAAAAACACACCGAAGAGCACTATGAATGATTTTTGTTGTTTTGGATCTTTTGTTTTCTTCTTATTATGGTCCGAAGCCTCCGTAACACCAATTTATCAGACAGAAGCATGTCGTCTTGTTGCTCTAGATAATTCAGCAAATTTTCAGTCCATTCAAGTGCAGCTTTATGGCTAATGTGCTTCTCAGGATTCAGTTCTGCTTTTCCAGTCTTACTGGAGGGCTTCTGCTCAGCAGACTTGGGATGGTCCTCAGCACCTTCATTGTCTGTCAGCACCTGACAGCTAGAGTCATTACTCTGGGAGTCAAACCACTGATCAATATTCTCAATGTTAACATGTTCACAGTCTTCTGTATTCTGTAAAACTGTTGCTAAGTTAGCTGCTAAAATGGCTCTTTCATCAATGTTCATTACTGAATTTTCTTCACTGTCAGGGAAAAGTTTTCTCCATGCTTTGGTTATGGTGCTTGCTTTTATCATGTTCCAAGCCCTAGATACCTCATAAATGGCATCCAACACGGTCAAGTTCTTCCAAAACATTTTTGGGTCAATTCCTTCATCCATGTATTTCTGGAGAAGTCCTGCTCGATAGTATCTTTTTACTGCAGCTAAAACTCCCTGGCTCATTGGTTGAATCAGACTTGTGACATTTGGTGGCAAATACTTCACAACTATTCTGCCATCATCTGAACTCAGTAGTTCTTCATTTGGATGTACTGGGGGGAAATCTAAAAGAAGCACTGCTTTTTCTAGAAGACCTTTGGATCTCAAATGCTTCTGTACCTGTGGCACAAAATATTTATCAAACCACTGTCTGAAAACAGATTGCTCTATCCATGCACCTTTTTGACTGAAATAAGAGACAGGAAGGTTTGAAAGATCAGTTCCTTTGAATGCACGGGGTTTCTTTGCTTTCCCTACAACACAAAGGTTAAGTTTGTGTAAACCTGTGGCATTTGCACAACACATTATAATGATTCTCTCTCTGCTTGATCTATACTCAGATGTATTTTGCTCAGTGTCAAGAACTAATGTCCTTGATGGTAAACACTTCCAGAACAACCCAGTTTGATCAGCACCATAAATCTGCTCTGGTTGCAGATTCTCTCTCTCTACATATTCCTGAAAGTTACCACAAAATTCACTGGCAGCAGTTTCATCTCCTTTTAGTTTTGTTCCTTTACCAGCAGCCTTTGGGATACCATGGCGCTGTTTGAATCGAGTTAGCCAGCCAGATGACGCATTAAAGTCACCTTCCATCCCCAAAGCATCAAAAAAAAACTTTGCTTGTTTTGCACAAATAGTTCCAGACACTGGAACCCCATCTGTCTTCTGTTGGTTAAACCACTCTATCATCACTCTATCAAGTTCCTCATAGGTTGATGACTTCATAGATTTACGTTTGGATACACCACTTGTGGGATCTGAGCTGTTTGCATAGTTTATAATCCTTTCTTTGTTCTTTTTAATATCACGAACTGTGGACTCACCAATTCCATATACCACAGAAAGTTTTTTGAAAGAGATACCTTCCTCAAGTTTCTTAATGATGTCAAGTTTGTCTTTAATTGTCAATACCACACGCTTACGTTTCCCCAACATTTTAAGTGTCTGATATTTCAGGTGATTACTAGAAGATAATTAACAACTTAAGATTTGAATAGCGAGACTATAAAATGGAATTTAAGATTGCTCCTCTGTGCCCTAGGACTTAATGTGATGGCCAATTTGCAGACAAAATCTAAGTCTCTTCACCCAGATTTTAAAATGTACATACTTCCTATAATAAGGAATAGCATCAATTAACCTTATCTTTTTTCTCCTTATACAGTGTTTTTAAAACTTGCAGTCTTATTAAAGGCTAGACATTGAACCAATACTGCACTGCTAATATCTCTAAAACGGTCCTACAGCATATTCAGCTTCTGTCATCAGTGCAGATAAAGTTTCTAAAGCCAGGAAGACTTGGGTTGAGTATTTTAGGACATGGTCAGGGAAACAGAGAACTTAAGAAAAGATTTGCAAATCTGACATACAGGAAAATATGAGAAAACTTAACTCCTTATGTTGTTTTTTTCAGGAAGTGAACTCTGAGTAATGCTGTCTCTTCTACGCAAAGGACTAGTGCAGGTTGCACAGGGAAGTGCTTAAGAAAATGGTAATAAGCAAGTTAAGGTGAGCTGCACAGAAGTGAGGTGCAAAGGAGGTAAAAGTGGACAGGCAGGAAGCCCTGTACTCGAACGCAACAAAAACTTACACCTAATGGCTTATGCTACTGGTAAGGAGAAAGGTGGGCAAGAGGTGGTGGCACATGATTAAAGAAAGCACCAAAAAACTTCATTGGTGGAAATCAGGACCCAGAGTAGAGACTAGGGTGAAGGCACGGTGAGGATGTTACAATAATCCTGGTGCAAGCCGATCCTCCAGGGTCCAAAGGAAGTAGTTCCTGTGCGACTGTATAGGTACTTGGAGCCTCTGAAACCTAGAGAAAAATACCAAAAACATTTTATTTTCAGCATTAGTGTCACTGGCACTAACCACATCTACCTTGCAACTATGTTGGGAAAATAAACGCCTCCAACCAACTGTGATGGCTGAACACGACAAATAATATTCTTAAGGATTATCTGGGCACCGAAGGGGACCTGGATCGCCTACCTCCTCAAATTAAGAGGTCAGAGAGAAGCCGTGTGAGCGAGGGCCTCCCCGCCGGGCGAGCTGCGGAGGGCGGGCTGCTTTTCCTCCAGCGACGGAGCCCGGGTTCCGCCTGGACGCCAGCAACCCGGTGTCACCGCCACAGCCGGACAGCCAGCGAGCGGCCGCTGGGCGCAGAGGACGCGGGTCCGCCGGCCGAACGCATCGCTCCCAGCCTGGCAGCTTGGCGGCCAGACTGCACCGAGAGCAAATGGAGGCTCCCGAGGGACGCCGACACTGGTGGCGCGGCGGCGGCAGCAACGAGCGCGCGTCGCGCCGGAGCCGGAAGGCGGGGGATTAGCGAGCACGCGCGCGCCCCGCAGGCGCGTTGGGCCGGCGAGGGGGCGGG